AATTTACAGAAGCTGGTTGGATACCAAATAGCACAAGGCCATCTTCTCGTTCTCTAACCAGTATTGTAATTTACACACTTCCGATCTAATGCATTACCCCCCGCCTTCATAGTGTTATAAAAATAATATAGGATCTTATCAGGTTTCTTTGATTCCTCTACTATTTTGTTATCATGCTGCATAGATTGCTATACGAGAACATGTGTATTTGGTTTTGGAAGATACTACTCTAAGGCTGTACAACATAAACTTAGAAGTACCTGGCTGTGTTTCCTTCTTATTTGGAACTACATGTTGGGGTACTTGTTACTTATTTTTACGCTTCCTGCCGACATAGGTCAGTTGGTTGATGCGCAATTCTACATGTAATTCTACTGACGTGAACCAGTCATCTGCTGTGATATTTCTGTTCGTATAGACGAAAGCATTGAGCAGGTAGTGGTGAGTCTTTGCATCATCAGTCCATACTTATTCGGTTTAGTTTTCTTGTAGGCACAGGAAGGACATCGGCCCACGAGCATCTCGTATTTTGTAGGGGACTCACCCGAAATATAACAATTTCGACAGTTCTCTATGAGTGTCTCGAAAATTTCACGTATTTGGAGAAATTTATCGGCATTTCTCGAGTCACAGGGTTATTATTTTCCAAATTGGTTGCCACGGACTTTAGTTCAGGTAAATGCGTAATAATCGACCAGTTGCAGGCGCTCGTTTTGACCAATTGTACATGTTTTTTCCATAGGCATAGCGAGGTCGCCCATAGGAAGTTGTTCAGGTTGATCGATAGCAGCGTCGTCCTCGGCGTAGTCTATAGTGTATTGTTCATCCGTCAACAACGAAAAAATCCATTGTGAAGGAAGTTCAAATCGTACACGCAACTGACATCCTCGGATCAAATTTGACCGCAAAGTCAACAAACCAACAATTGTGATGTTTAAATTAAACTGTGGTTTGAGGTATACGTGCTCATACCGTATGAGAAGTCACGGGACCCCCACCACATAACTGAGAAAGCTCGAATCATCCGACGATATCATTAAAGGATTAATTTCTATATTCTTGAACGAATCTATAAAATCAAAGTGGCTGGGTTTCAATTTACATAGCTCTTTGTATGGTCTTGTTTGCTGATCAACATTATATGATTTCTAGACATGTTCAATCTGTGCAGCTTCTTCACTTTCATATTAATGTCAATAAGAGCATTTCATCCATTTTTGAATAAATGTGGTTCATCACAAATTGTAGAAATACTCTGAGCATTGACTATAAAATGGAATGGACTTGATCCGTGAGTATTCTCCGAGCAAATCGTCTCAAGTGCGTTTTTGATCGTTGCGCCCTGATTAGAAATAGTGCCAACAACGCACAAACCAAGTCGCTGCTAGTTTGTGATCACATGAACAATAATCGTTTTCAGATCTGGGATTCTTGTATCTTTTACTAGATAATAAGCCACAACCTGCTTATAATTTTTACGAATCCCTCTTATCATGGAAGTAAGGGCATGATTTCTGATAAATCACTTTTTCAGAGTTCTAGTTGATTTTGTTACCTCAGAATTCAAGATTTATTAGCTGAAAATTGTACACTGTGAGCACTGGGATCAGCCCTAAACTTTGTCCAAACCCTGCAATAATCGTAAACACTAAACAAGGGTAGACATATTTCTAGTTTAACTGCCTGAAGATTTTCTCTATGGTTTATACGTAACTCTCCACCTATTATCTCATTTTTGTACATGTTCTGGGAGAACTCAACTTGCTCCCTATAAAATGCAACGTCTTCCTGCACAGGTGGTTCTGGTTAAGTGCCAGCCTGCTTCGGGTTTGTAATTAGTTGTTGCAATTTTCTGATTTCGTCGTCCTTTTTCATAATCCAGATTTCGTTTTGGCATTCCAGTTCAGCCATTTGATCCTGAAGCTCTTTTATAGTAGAATCATTATGGCATCGTATATCTGAGATTTTAAATGAGTGGTTGACCTCACGTTGGTTACTCTCGTCCATCAGACTCTTTACGTCATTTCTCAGTTTAGATTCAAGTTCTTTTAGGAAGCCAATTTCATCTTGCAGTTCAGCAATGTGTGACATCGTTACATCAGTTTGTGCAGCAGCACTTAAAGAATGTTGCATATCTTCGTACTCAGCGTCAAGCATAGCTTCTAAGTCTGCAACCTTCTTTTTTGACTCAATATTTGAGCTTCAAGAGATGGTTTAGGGCTCTCTGATCTTCCTAGGTTCTTCAGTTGAGTACGCAGCATCTCTATTTCTGACTCGTATGTTTTTAGTCTTTTTATTATTTTTTTCCAGAAAATCGAGTCTGTATTGCAAGTCGATGAAATTCTTGCGCTTTTTGAGAATTTTTTTGAACTCTTTCTATTTCTTCGTTGTACGCATCCGTTACTTGGCGGAGTTCCTGACTGTAACGATCGAATTTAGAATTGGCTTCTGTGAGCTGTTTCTTCAGGTCCAAAATCTCCAGCTGATTATCTAGTTTAGTGAATTCTCTAAGCTCATTGAAAGATTCTTCCAGTTCTTTGAGTTGTCTTTTAAGTACACTTGCACGTCTTCAGCTATCACAGATTCTGCTTCGGCTAGTGCCTCCTCATATGTCTCTCTTGAATAGGCCTCATTTCACGTCCGGATGATTCTTCTTTGGGTGGATAATTTTTCAATGGCATATACCCTAGGGATGCTTTTTTAGGTGATACGTTGCCATAGTGTCCAAAAGTATGACGTCTTAATGTTTTTTTCGGTGTTGATGCCGAGGCTCCCATTTGAAAGCGCCCGACAATAGATACTTCCGTTTTTAGTCTTTCTATCTCGAGCAGATACTCTTGTTTGCTTTTATCCATCTCTTTTAGCTTAATTGCCTGCTTTTTGAGCCGAGTTTCGAGATCGCGAGTCAAGTTCTGATATCCTTGAAGTGTCTCTTCTGTAGCTGACAAGATGTTTACTTTCGTTTTATTTTGACAGTTTTAGTGCTTTGGGCGAATTCTGGTGTAGATCTAGTCTCCTCCTCTGCAGCTAAAGTAACATTCCCGATAATCAATGATTTGGCATTACCGCCAAGAATCTCCTTCCCCTCGCTTAGTTGCCTTATCACATTTCCTAATACTGACAAAGATTTGTTTATGTTAGCCCCCTCTTTAAGACGCTCACCAGCAGCTTTCGTCAGAGAAACTCTCTCAGAACCAGCTAAGTCCATTAAGTTAAGGTAGCTTATATGTACAGGTCCATCTTTCTGATTGGCATCTTTCGACTCCAGAATAATCCGGAAAATCGTGTGTGATCGAGATGACCTCTCATTCATGCGAGTAGCTGCAACTCGTCTGATCTTATTGCCCTGCATCATGTTCTCCATAACTTTATCAACATTGTCTACGACAGCTTCCCTTGCATCAAGCAGCACATTTCCTTTGATATCTTCTCTTATAGTTAAACCCTGATTGCTCTTATCCAGGAGGTCATTGATCTTTTCATTGTAGATTTCAATATAACTGCATCTAATCAAGTACCTCTTATCAACCTGGTCTGCCACATGCTGGAATAACTGATTGGATACTAATTGGAAAAGCCCAGGATCTGTTTTATTGCCCAAAATGGTGTGTGTTTTGCCAGAAGATGTTTGGCCATATGCAAATATTGTGGCATTGAAACCTTCCATGAAGGAATCGACTAAAGGTTTTACTACAGATCCATATACATCTGAATTTGTACATTCCTGCTTAAATACATGGTCGAATATATAAACCTCTCCATGGCGACTACTTTCATCGGCTTCCCATATGCAGTTTACTCTTACGTTCCAAAGACGCTCTAGACCATCGGCTACTTCGCGGTGGATCATTGGTCTGATCTTTGTGGCTACTTTAATATTGTCGGAAGTCATTTTGGAAGCTTGAACTGAAATTTAATTAGAACTAGGGCTATTTCACGGGTTATAAAGAGGGGCACTTTTCATAATCCAGATTTCGTTTTGGCATTCCAGTTCAGCCATTTGATCCTGAAGCTCTTTTATAGTAGAATCATTATGGCATCGTATATCTGAGATTTTAAATGAGTGGTTGACCTCACGTTGGTTACTCTCGTCCATCAGACTCTTTACGTCATTTCTCAGTTTAGATTCAAGTTCTTTTAGGAAGCCAATTTCATCTTGCAGTTCAGCAATGTGTGACATCGTTACATCAGTTTGTGTAGCAGCACTTAAAGAATCTTGCATATCTTCGTACTCAGCGTCAAGCATAGCTTCTAAGTCTGCAACCTTCTTTTTTGACTCAATATTTTGAGCTTCAAGAGATGGTTTAGGGCTCTCTGATCTTCCTAGGTTCTTCAGTTGAGTACGCAGCATCTCTATTTCTGACTCGTATGTTTTTAGTCTTTTTATTATTTTTTTCCAGAAAATCGAGTCTGTATTGCAAGTCGATGAAATTCTTGCGCTTCTTGAGAATTTTTTTGAACTCTTTCTATTTCTTCGTTGTACGCATCCGTTACTTGGCGGAGTTCCTGACTGTAACGATCGATTTTAGAATTGGCTTCTGTGAGCTGTTTCTTCAGGTCCAACATCTCCAGCTGATTATCTAGTTTAGTGAATTCTCTAAGCTCATTGAAAGATTCTTCCAGTTCTTTGCGTTGTCTTTTAAGTACACTTGCACGTCTTCAGCTATCACAGATTCTGCTTCGGCTAGTGCCTCCTCATATGTCTCTTCTTGAATAGGCCTCATTTCACGTCCGGATGATTCTTCTTTGGGTGGATAATTTTTCAATGGCATATACCCTAGGGATGCTTTTTTAGGTGATACGTTGCCATAGTGTCCAAAAGTATGACGTCTTAATGTTTTTTTCGGTGTTGATGCCGAGGCTCCCATTTGAAAGCGCCCGACAATAGATACTTCCGTTTTTAGTCTTTCTATCTCGAGCAGATACTCTTGTTTGCTTTTATCCATCTCTTTTAGCTTAATTGCCTGCTTTTTGAGCCGAGTTTCGAGATCGCGAGTCAAGTTCTGATATCCTTGAAGTGTCTCTTCTGTAGCTGACAAGATGTTTACTTTCGTTTTATTTTTGACAGTTTTAGTGCTTTGGGCGAATTCTGGTGTAGATCTAGTCTCCTCCTCTGCAGCTAAAGTAACATTCCCGATAATCAATGATTTGGCATTACCGCCAAGAGCCTGTGAGAGCAGTCTAGTCAATTTCGAATCGCGATAACTGATAAACTCCTTCCCCTCGCTTAGTTGCCTTATCACATTTCCTAATACTGACAAAGATTTGTTTATGTTAGCCCCCTCTTTAAGACGCTCACCAGCAGCTTTCGTCAGAGAAACTCTCTCAGAACCAGCTAAGTCCATTAAGTTAAGGTAGCTTATATGTACAGGTCCATCTTTCTGATTGGCATCTTTCGACTCCAGAATAATCCGGAAAATCGTGTGTGATCGAGATGACCTCTCATTCATGCGAGTAGCTGCAACTCGTCTGATCTTATTGCCCTGCATCATGTTCTCCATAACTTTATCAACATTGTCTACGACAGCTTCCCTTGCATCAAGCAGCACATTTCCTTTGATATCTTCTCTTATAGTTAAACCCTGATTGCTCTTATCCAGGAGGTCATTGATCTTTTCATTGTAGATTTCAATATAACTGCATCTAATCAAGTACCTCTTATCAACCTGGTCTGCCACATGCTGGAATAACTGATTGGATACTAATTGGAAAAGCCCAGGATCTGTTTTATTGCCCAAAATGGTGTGTGTTTTGCCAGAAGATGTTTGGCCATATGCAAATATTGTGGCATTGAAACCTTCCATGAAGGAATCGACTAAAGGTTTTACTACAGATCCATATACATCTGAATTTGTACATTCCTGCTTAAATACATGGTCGAATATATAAACCTCTCCATGGCGACTACTTTCATCGGCTTCCCATATGCAGTTTACTCTTACGTTCCAAAGACGCTCTAGACCATCGGCTACTTCGCGGTGGATCATTGGTCTGATCTTTGTGGCTACTTTAATATTGTCGGAAGTCATTTTGGAAGCTTGAACTGAAATTTAATTAGAACTAGGGCTATTTCACGGGTTATAAAGAGGGGCACTTTTCATAATCCAGATTTCGTTTTGGCATTCCAGTTCAGCCATTTGATCCTGAAGCTCTTTTATAGTAGAATCATTATGGCATCGTATATCTGAGATTTAAATGAGTGGTTGACCTCACGTTGGTTACTCTCGTCCATCAGACTCTTTACGTCATTTCTCAGTTTAGATTCAAGTTCTTTTAGGAAGCCAATTTCATCTTGCAGTTCAGCAATGTGTGACATCGTTACATCAGTTTGTGTAGCAGCACTTAAAGAATCTTGCATATCTTCGTACTCAGCGTCAAGCATAGCTTCTAAGTCTGCAACCTTCTTTTTTGACTCAATATTTTGAGCTTCAAGAGATGGTTTAGGGCTCTCTGATCTTCCTAGGTTCTTCAGTTGAGTACGCAGCATCTCTATTTCTGACTCGTATGTTTTTAGTCTTTTTATTATTTTTTTCCAGAAAATCGAGTCTGTATTGCAAGTCGATGAAATTCTTGCGCTTTTTGAGAATTTTTTGAACTCTTTCTATTTCTTCGTTGTACGCATCCGTTACTTGGCGGAGTTCCTGACTGTAACGATCGATTTTAGAATTGGCTTCTGTGAGCTGTTTCTTCAGGTCCAAAATCTCCAGCTGATTATCTAGTTTAGTGAATTCTCTAAGCTCATTGAAAGATTCTTCCAGTTCTTTGCGTTGTCTTTTAAGTACACTTGCACGTCTTCAGCTATCACAGATTCTGCTTCGGCTAGTGCCTCCTCATATGTCTCTTCTTGAATAGGCCTCATTTCACGTCCGGATGATTCTTCTTTGGGTGGATAATTTTTCAATGGCATATACCCTAGGGATGCTTTTTTAGGTGATACGTTGCCATAGTGTCCAAAAGTATGACGTCTTAATGTTTTTTTCGGTGTTGATGCCGAGGCTCCCATTTGAAAGCGCCCGACAATAGATACTTCCGTTTTTAGTCTTTCTATCTCGAGCAGATACTCTTGTTTGCTTTTATCCATCTCTTTTAGCTTAATTGCCTGCTTTTGAGCCGAGTTTCGAGATCGCGAGTCAAGTTCTGATATCCTTGAAGTGTCTCTTCTGTAGCTGACAAGATGTTTACTTTCGTTTTATTTTTGACAGTTTTAGTGCTTTGGGCGAATTCTGGTGTAGATCTAGTCTCCTCCTCTGCAGCTAAAGTAACATTCCCGATAATCAATGATTTGGCATTACCGCCAAGAGCCTGTGAGAGCAGTCTAGTCAATTTCGAATCGCGATAACTGATAAACTCCTTCCCCTCGCTTAGTTGCCTTATCACATTTCCTAATACTGACAAAGATTTGTTTATGTTAGCCCCCTCTTTAAGACGCTCACCAGCAGCTTTCGTCAGAGAAACTCTCTCAGAACCAGCTAAGTCCATTAAGTTAAGGTAGCTTATATGTACAGGTCCATCTTTCTGATTGGCATCTTTCGACTCCAGATAATCCGGAAAATCGTGTGTGATCGAGATGACCTCTCATTCATGCGAGTAGCTGCAACTCGTCTGATCTTATTGCCCTGCATCATGTTCTCCATAACTTTATCAACATTGTCTACGACAGCTTCCCTTGCATCAAGCAGCACATTTCCTTTGATATCTTCTCATAGTTAAACCCTGATTGCTCTTATCCAGGAGGTCATTGATCTTTTCATTGTAGATTTCAATATAACTGCATCTAATCAAGTACCTCTTATCAACCTGGTCTGCCACATGCTGGAATAACTGATTGGATACTAATTGGAAAAGCCCAGGATCTGTTTTATTGCCCAAAATGGTGTGTGTTTTGCCAGAAGATGTTTGGCCATATGCAAATATTGTGGCATTGAAACCTTCCATGAAGGAATCGACTAAAGGTTTTACTACAGATCCATATACATCTGAATTTGTACATTCCTGATTAAATACATGGTCGAATATATAAACCTCTCCATGGCGACTACTTTCATCGGCTTCCCATATGCAGTTTACTCTTACGTTCCAAAGACGCTCTAGACCATCGGCTACTTCGCGGTGGATCATTGGTCTGATCTTTGTGGCTACTTTAATATTGTTGGAAGTCATTTTGGAAGCTTGAACTGAAATTTAATTAGAACTAGGGCTATTTCACGGGTTATAAAGAGGGGCAGATGTATCAGGTTGATACATTCTTTTTTTCCTCCTTTCCAGTATAGAAGATTTTTTTCTCTTGTAGGCTATGAATGCGGTCCGATAGTTTAGTAGAGCTACATTTACAGGGTGACTCAAAATCAAAGAAGAAACAGAATTGTTAAATTTCATATAGACTGTTATTGTTATTACAAAAGAAGTTGAAGCAGCAGCAAATTCTCACAAATCTATAGATCCATCACTTTCAGCACCCGATTTTTCAACTTGAAAAATGCAGCTCGGTGAAGAATCACAAGGTAACTGTTGTCTATTCAGACAATACTCTTCTAAAAGCAACGCGAAGTTACCTAGTGCCTTACATGAATCGCCTTCATAATTCTTCATTATTGTCAATGGAAAACTGAAATTGTTGATTATTACAGTTTAATGCTTCAAATAAACAGATGGTGTTCGTGTTGGAAATCCCACATCTAATCTCGCAAAACAGGTTATCCACCGGATCTTACTATCAACATCTGAAATGCCATTACTGTTTTTAGCCATGTGTACAACAGGTTTGTACGCATAAGACACTCTTACATGAAAACTGTTTATTGTCTAAAAACGAAAATACCCCATTGAAGATGAGTAATGCAATAAATATAATCCTCGAAACTTGAACTGTAATATGAACATAAAAAAACTAACAAAATGGGCCATTTAACAACATATTTGGTGTTGATATTCTACAACAAAAACAAATACTTTCTCGTATAAGGAAACATACAATAATTAACATTTATCACTTTTCACGAAACAATGTAAGTGCGCTGTGACTTTACATACTTATTACAGATTGTAGAACATTTTTTCATTGTGTATTGTCATGTAACACCTACGTCGTTTTTTTCTTTAACAACTGCATCAGGATCGAGAACTCTGGGCTGAGAAGTAGACGGCTTACTTTATTCGTCGTTGGTAATTTAGGATTCTTTGCATGGCTGAACGAAGCTCCCTAGGAAGTCTTGGATCTGATAAACGTCCTCTCATACGAAGTTAAATTAGAGTTTGCCTCAGGGGAACAATAAAATTTCGTCGCCTAATGGAACTTTCAGTCCCAGACTGAAAAAAAAGGAATTTACAGAAGCTGGTTGGATACCAAATAGCACAAGGCCATCTTCTCGTTCTCTAACCAGTATTGTAATTTACACACTTCCGATCTAATGCATTACCCCCCGCCTTCATAGTGTTATAAAAATAATATAGGATCTTATCAGGTTTCTTTGATTCCTCTACTATTTTGTTATCATGCTGCATAGATTGCTATACGAGAACATGTGTATTTGGTTTTGGAAGATACTACTCTAAGGCTGTACAACATAAACTTAGAAGTACCTGGCTGTGTTTCCTTCTTATTTGGAACTACATGTTGGGGTACTTGTTACTTATTTTTACGCTTCCTGCCGACATAGGTCAGTTGGTTGATGCGCAATTCTACATGTAATTCTACTGACGTGAACCAGTCATCTGCTGTGATATTTCTGTTCGTATAGACGAAAGCATTGAGCAGGTAGTGGTGAGTCTTTGCATCATCAGTCCATACTTATTCGGTTTAGTTTTCTTGTAGGCACAGGAAGGACATCGGCCCACGAGCATCTCGTATTTTGTAGGGGACTCACCCGAAATATAACAATTTCGACAGTTCTCTATGAGTGTCTCGAAAATTTCACGTATTTGGAGAAATTTATCGGCATTTCTCGAGTCACAGGGTTATTATTTTCCAAATTGGTTGCCACGGACTTTAGTTCAGGTAAATGCGTAATAATCGACCAGTTGCAGGCGCTCGTTTTGACCAATTGTACATGTTTTTTCCATAGGCATAGCGAGGTCGCCCATAGGAAGTTGTTCAGGTTGATCGATAGCAGCGCGTCTCCTCGGTAGTCTATAGTGTATTGTTCATCCGTCAACAACGAAAAAATCCATTGTGAAGGAAGTTCAAATCGTACACGCAACTGACATCCTCGGATCAAATTTGACCGCAAAGTCAACAAACCAACAATTGTGATGTTTAAATTAAACTGGTTTGAGGTTTGAGGTATACGTGCTCATACCGTATGAGAAGTCACGGGACCCCCACCACATAACTGAGAAAGCTCGAATCATCCGACGATATCATTAAAGGATTAATTTCTATATTCTTGAACGAATCTATAAAATCAAAGTGGCTGGGTTTCAATTTACATAGCTCTTTGTATGGTCTTGTTTGCTGATCAACATTATATGATTTCTAGACATGTTCAATCTGTGCAGCTTCTTCACTTTCATATTAATGTCAATAAGAGCATTTCATCCATTTTTGAATAAATGTGGTTCATCACAAATTGTAGAAATACTCTGAGCATTGACTATAAAATGGAATGGACTTGATCCGTGAGTATTCTCCGAGCAAATCGTCTCAAGTGCGTTTTTGATCGTTGCGCCCTGATTAGAAATAGTGCCAACAACGCACAAACCAAGTCGCTGCTAGTTTGTGATCACATGAACAATAATCGTTTTCAGATCTGGGATTCTTGTATCTTTTACTAGATAATAAGCCACAACCTGCTTATAATTTTTACGAATCCCTCTTATCATGGAAGTAAGGGCATGATTTCTGATAAATCACTTTTTCAGAGTTCTAGTTGATTTTGTTACCTCAGAATTCAAGATTTATTAGCTGAAAATTGTACACTGTGAGCACTGGGATCAGCCCTAAACTTTGTCCAAACCCTGCAATAATCGTAAACACTAAACAAGGGTAGAC